CCCCCCCCCCCCCCCCCCCCCCACACACACACACACACACACACACACTCACACATATCTTATGATACCTTCTTGGACTTAATCTATATCTGAACATGGTACTCACAGAGATATTCTTATAAGCACTTCTTTAAAGTTTATACTTTGGGTATGAATTGAAGTACTCCTTTTTTAATTTGTGCTTTGCTATGAGATTTGTGGTTGCAGAAAACATTGATTGGCGTTGTATTTTTACCAAAATCTTATTTTAACTGTTAAGTGATATTCCCCAATTGCTTACTCATATAAGTTGTGACTTCACTTAAGATGGTTTTGTTGTTTGCATGGGCATATTGTATGTTTATAGAAATGAAATTTCTGTAGATTATACAAAAGGGACACCAAAGCATTTTAGAATCAAGACTGCTAATCTGATTTGGTGTTGTTGAAATTTGTTTCTCATCTCATCAGTTATCTTATTTATTAACATATGCAGGCCTTTATAACACAAGATGCTGCTGACCGTGACTTGTTATTTAGAAATATGCGATCATTTGATGTTCCTATTATAAATGTAGCAGATAAAAGTCAGAGCCGTGTTCCCTTTCAAATTACTGAGGAGGCATGTATAAGCTTCTTTGAGAACTCTTATTTTGATGCTGATCTATGTGATCACTTAGTTTCTTACAACTATCTTCCACAGATGCGTATGCTAGGTATCGATTCAAGGCTTGACCAAGTTTTTGATGCTCCCGATGCAGTCAAAGAAGCTCTAGTCGGTCAATTTCGGCTGGACCATTCTGTAGGCTTACCTTTTCTAAACCTCGTGATACTTTTCTTCTGGAACTTATTCTAGTAAATCAACATTAATGTAATCCAATGTTTTTGTGCAGTACATAGGCTCACGTGAAACTGACAAGAGAGCAGATGAGGTGTTGCAATTGGGTATCTTTGATTTATGGACCCCTGAAAATCATTATAGATGGACCAAATCCAGATATGGTGGTCACGTTTCTGGCAGTGTTGAATCAGTGGACCGCTCTCGCTTTTTGCTATGCAGTATCTCACTAGCCCTTTGTTTTTAATATATTGATGCCTTGTCCATAAATATCTTAGTTTACTCCCAAATATTTTCTTCAGATGTGGATGCTGGGGAAGTTGAGAGGCTCAAGTCCCAGAAACTTCAGCTGGATGAAGCAATCTCTACATTAGAAGATAATCTCAGGGCAGTTAAGAGTGAGTTGAGGAACATAGAAGATGAAGGTGCCAAACTTGAAAAACAACGTGTAGGTGATATATACATGCATTCCATGCACATATATGTGTGTATTTCTTTGGTTTCTGGAAGTTGTTTTACATGCAAGGATGTGCAAATTCACACTTGAGTATCTTTATGGTATGCTTTTTCCTTTTCTTTTTTGATCCTGGAGAAAAGGTGCCTTTGCTTCCTGAGTTATAGCTTCTCTGCTTGGTTCTGATAAGTATGGAGCTTGGTGCAATTAACCTTCCCTCTGAACAAACAAAGTTTAGTCATTGTGCATCTTTGGCCAACAAAATTGAGAAGAAATTTTGCAGACTGACTGTCGTGGAACTCCTGCCCCTTGGTTACCCTTCCGAGTCTCCACAAGAGCCTCCCTTCGTCTCTGCAACCCAATTCCCTTTGACAAAGATCTGTGACCCTTTCCAAACCCCTTGTGACCTCGCCATCAACCTATATAACTCACTATCGCTAGTTGCTGGCTCTCATAAACCATTCGGTGGCAGGAATAAATTGCAAAGTTGGTTTGGATTGGATGGTATGTTAGGGTAATTTTGACTGTAAGCAGGGAGAGGGTGAGAACAAGAGGGATTTCTTTTTTTTTTTTTGAAGAAAAGGGGTTTAGTAAATGACCGAAGCTACTTCTTTAAATTAAGTTGAAGGTTTTATGTGCCAGTGCTGTACAAGCTTGGTAACAGAACAATTCCTTTTGTGTGTATCCTCGATTAATGCAACCTCAGATGCTATGTTTCGATTCTCGATTCTAGTATTAAGCGAAAGGTTACACAAGAGACTAGAACCTGAGATAGCTTGGATAGTAGGCTTCCTGAAACTCTATTGTCAAAGTGTGTAGGCTGGAAAACATATATAGCTGTGGAACTGTGTATCAACAGTGGAGAATAGGGATCGATGATTCTGTAAAATGATATTACTTGTGGAACTGTGTTTTATGTTGAATATTTATCCCTAGCTTATAAGAATTTGCTTTGTAGTGCATTTCCTTTTCCTCCATTGTCTGAATTAATCAATCAGAAAAGATTCTACTCTTATGAACTTAATTTTTTTGTGAATGTCATATCAATGGCTTTGTGCATACTCTAGTTGTTGATAACAATCAAATGCTATCTGTTCTTTTGACCTAAAATTAATATTTTATTACTTCAAGCATAATTAGCATATTTTTGTTGATCTATTTTAGGAAGAGATTATAAATGAGTCACTACATGAGAAGAAAAGAAGGCGTGAGATGGAAAACCGTGTCAGTAAGTATCTCTTCTAATCTTTTACTTGAAGTATGTGTAATACAAGGTAACAGGTACAGTATTGATTACGTAGTGTTCCTTCAACATGTAATTTTCTCCAACTTCAGAGCAGCGCATGATAAACTTGAAATCTTTGGAAAGAGAGGATGATCTGGATAGTGTAGCTGCAAAGCTTATTGACCAGATCAAAGCTATGAAGATTCAGCGATTCCAACTTGCAATGGAAATTAAGGTCAATTATTCTTTTTAATATTTCTGTTTGCTGATGCCTCTTAAACTATGATTAGATCCTAAGTGAGTAAGTTTTGTATCTCAGATGTATGTACCTTTGCTGAGTTTCTCTTTTCTGCCAGAATTTACTTATTGATGCTGTGGCTCACAGAAGAAGTTTTGCTGAACAAAACATGGCATCCCTTGAACTTGCGCTGAAGGTACTTGTTTATTGTGTTATTTTGTGTAAATTAAAGTAAAGATGAACTACAGAATTTGAAATAAAATAAACAATAAAAAAATTGAAGTAAAATAGCTACAATAGTCAGAGCATTGCAAGAAAATCAGTGATTTGTGTTAGGCTAAGTTGGTACGAGTGGAAGGACTATTAGGGCCTGTATGGAAAGCTACTCTAATTGGATTTGGGTTTAACGGGGTGTAATTACACAATTTAACATGTTTGTTGACCAAGTAATTATTTGGTTAGCATAGAATTGGGTGTAACTGAAGGGGGACACTCTTCAGTTCTCGAGGGGAGGTGAGAATTGCAGGTAATTACATGGTAACTTTTCAAAATTTTTTATTTGTTATTTCAATTATATTTCATTTTACTTGTATATTTGATTTGCAACTTACATTTTTCTTGTTTGTACTATTACCTTTTGTATGAGTTTCTATATTTCAATACTAATTTCTTTCCCTTTCTATTTTTGTTGGAATGAATATTCTATCTAACAAATATTTGTTAATGATTGATAGTTTGAAAATAATAATATGCGATGTTATAAACTTTATAATGATAATTTTTTATGTAAATTATGTTGCAGATAGATCGATAAAATAATGTTTTTATATCTCATATAGTATGATAGTATAAATTTTTAAAGATAAACTGGCGATGTAAATTTTTGATCAGGTGGGAGCTAGAGATATGAAACTAAATATATCCACTTAAGTTGTGCTCCAAAAGAATTTCTCAAATGTTTGTTTATTCTAATTGTCTCAAAGTAGTTATTTGTTTTTTAAATACTTAAGAATCAAATATATTTAATATTTCTTACATATATATATGTTTGTCACACAATTAAACATAATTGCATGTTGATCCAAAAGTTTATTTAATTTTTGATAGTGAACTTTCATTTTAAAAAGTATTTAATTATGTAATTGTACTTGCATAACCAAACATGACTAGGAACAGACAGATCTTTGTAATTACTACTATGTTATCTAATGTTGTTGATTAGAAGGTACTACCTTACTAGGCTAATGTTAATGCAAGTAGATGACTATATGCAATGCACTTCTAAAAAACTTTGTGAATTATTTTTCATTTTGTTTATCGCAGATCGTCTCTCAATGCAAATCAAATGTAATCTTGTTGGTCTGAAGTGTTGCATCTGGTCTCTTTTTTTCTAAAATAAACAGATTTATTGCAGGAATTTGGGCTTTTTAGCATTATTAGCAGTTGAAAGTAGTCTCACAAGCCAAGACCAACTTCATTGGACATAAAATCTCGTCTTCTTTTTCTTCTTAATAAATAGATTGATACCACGCATATGGACTTAGTTGTTAAAAGTAGTCTAACAAGCTAAGAGTATACACCTTTTTGCATTATTCGCAGTTGAAAGTAGTCTAACAAGCTAAGACTGACTTCACTAGACCTAAAATCGTAGTCTGAGTGTGAATCGTGCTTCCTTATCATATTTTCAGGTTAAAGAGATGGAAGCTAATGTGAAGCACCAAGAAAAATTTGCAGTACAAGCATCTCTGCATTATGAGTACTGTAAGTTCTTCAGTAGTTAACATTTTCACTATTGACTATTTTACATCTTGCACATTGAAATAGTAACTTTTAAGAACCATCTCGCCTTGGTTGACAACAGAAAATAAGCAAATACAGGGGTCCCAAAAGACCTATTTCAAAAGTTCCGAGTATCCAGAAAATGATACTTTATAATTCGCCAACTCTACTTGTAAAAGACGATTTATTTATTGAAAATAACTGAACTTTGTCTCAACTAGTTAATATTGCCTATATGGATCATTTGCTTCGTAGTGGTTGTTCTTGCAAGTTTTTGAATCGATTGCAGGAGAATAATGTGATTTAGGTCTATTTGATTTTGTTCGATCAACAGAATCAATCATACTTCCACTACTGTGGACCGACTTTCTTAAAGCACCTTTAGGCAGCAACTACTATTAGGATCTAATTTTGAGACTCCGATCTTTTCTATGTTATTTTCTTTATCTATCATTTCTCTTGATGCGATATAAAAGACGACTTCCAAGAGTTACTTAAGAGTTGAGACCCCTTTTAGCACTTTTGCTGAACATAGTGAATCACCAGTGGCCAGTTCATATGGAGGTCCGTACAAGACATGACCAAATACATATGCTTTCTATCTTGATATGATCATCTCTAATATTGATGGTTCTTTCTCCAATTAATGCTTCTTGCTTTTGACCACTCTCATGACTCTTTCTATAAATTTCTTAATCAAATGGGTTGTTTTTCTCGTTAGCTCCCATATGAGGAATTATAGTGCAATGCCTTCTCAAAAAGCCTTTTACTTTGAATAGAAATATTTGTTATGTAATCTTTCTCGTTATACACAAAACCTCCCGGAGGAACATGAGGCAATCTCTCTTTCCCTTCTCTTAAAATAAATTGCATTTCAGAAGGAGATGATCCATTGTTGTTGGTTACAAATACTCCAATCTTTTAGTTTTATATGCTAGTAAAAATTAAGCGTTTTGGAAAGTGAAAGGTTAGTCTTTTCATCTTCCATTTACTTGTATGTGTTTTAATTCTAGCTGATTTCCCAAAGGTACATGTTTCCTCACTAAATGGGTAATGCATTTAGAGACTTTTAGTTTTTTAATGATTAGATACCCCCTCCATTTCAAAAAAATGTTAATTGTTGAGACAATGCACACCCATTAAGAAAAAAAGTTTATAATTAGGACATAAAATGAACACCACTTTCCACTTTTGCCTTTTTTAGATATTCTCAATCTATTCTTGAAAATATAAATAATTCAAAGTAAAATTATAAATATGAGCAATTAACTCTCTTGAAATTATCACCTAGAAGATATAAATGAGGGGCAAAAATGGAAAAAAAATCCCAACAACTCTCTTGATCTTTGAACAATTCACTTATTTTGAAATGGAGGGGTAAAAAATTAAATGGTCTTCTACTCCATAGGCAGATGCATCACCTCCAATCAATTTGGCAATATATATATATAACTTTTCTTGGATAAGGGTGAAACATCTGCATGTTCATAAGGTTATTGCAAATGTTGTCTCCAAAGAAAGTTTAAAGAATAGTTACCAAAACCTAAAATGTTACTTCCTCTATTCCAATTTATATGACTTACTTTCTTTTTTTAGAATGACACATTTCTATATCAAGTAACAATCTAACTTTAAAATACCTATTTTACCCTTGATGAAATGATTTGTAGCCATACAAAGACATATTTAAGACCACAAGTTTCTAAAGTCTTTCTTTCTTAAACTATGGTCCAAGTCAAACTACATCACATAAAATTGGGACGGAGGGAATAGTTGTTTTTTTGGAGCAATTCTCTCTAGGGAAACCTACATAGATATGTTATATTAAGGAAAATATTTACTATCTATAACAACAACATTTTTTCTTCATTGATCATTTATAATACAATTTTAATATATATATATATATTTTTTTGATTTTTTTTGATAACCGAGAAATCCGTTTGTGACCCGCCCTTTGGACCAATCACAGCCTTCTAAACTCGGTGGATAATGGGCCCGCCCCTCTACCCTTCTCCACTTAAATACCGGGTTTCGCTTTGCATGGTGTGGGGCTTGAACCTGCGACCTAAGTCACAAATCCTCCACCTTTTGCCACTCGAGCTAGGCCTTGGGGGCTACAATTTTAATATATATTATAGAGAACAAATTTGTAAAACATATATAATACAAGTTTTATTGATAGATAATACATTTATCACACACTAAAATACACTCATAATTCTTTGTGTCAGTTTCTTACTAAACAAGCATAATATAATATAGAAAAAACTTCATATGAAACTTAATAACCCTCCTTGGCTATATTTTGCCTAATTATGTTTCATACCTATAGTTCCATTTGCTTTGCTAAATTTCGTTTGTTTTAACTTTTAATAAATTATACAAATTGAGTTTATACAAGTAACATATTATATATAATTATTTGTATTGTATAGAAACTATTCATATAGATAATTAAATAATTGTATATAATTGTTGAGATTATACAATTGATTCGTATAAAGTATTGTGGGTATACCGGAAAAAAATATACAACCAAAAATCAAAAAATATATAGAACCAAACACCAGAAATAGAAGTTTGTATATACACCCAAATACGTATATATATGTATAGTATCATACCAAAATTATTATTATGTATGCAAATAAATTAATATATACAAATAGGGTTTATACAAATACATGCGATTCTTCATAGTAAATTTCATTAAACTGTAGCCGCGATTCATAATTATATGAAACTGTATTAAATAAATGCACTAGTAATGTTTGCGAATTTGTGTAATTTTTTCTATATTTTAGAACACTTATAATACATCCATATTGTATGCATAATTCACTTTTAATACATAGTGCATATTTATCATAGTAGCTATGTATTGCTATAAATGGTAATAAAAAAGAATTGCTAAAATCAGTAATTATTTATTAAAAAGTATTGACCCAAACAATTTTTCCTTTTCTCTAACTGACGTAGTAATTCAGTGGGGGCTAAAGATTGTGTACAACCTTAAAATTTTCATCAATTTTTAAGCAAATCCTTTTTGATTCGTAGATGTAGGCTTGAGATATAAATCAATATGATAGAGCTTAATAAATCATTGTGGAAAAAGATATGAATTCCATGATTTGATAGTTTATTGATGTGTATGAGTGGGAGAATTAAAGGACATTGCTATTTCCTAATTGATATCAGAGGGTGGTGCACCGTGCATATGCTTTGGTGAATGATGTGACATGATCTCGTCTCCGTGATTCTTTTTTGGGGCTTATCACCAGTGGCCTCTGCCACTTGACCAAGTGTGTCATTCAAAATGCTTCACTGATTTCTTTTTATTATTATATATAAGATTCTGATTATTAGCATGTATATACAATAGGGCGACACCTCACCGATTATCTTTTTTATTATATATAAGATTCTGATGAAATTAGGATGTATATACAATAGGGAGACACCACTTAAAAAATAATGCAAAGTAAACATCAACTTGAGATAGGGAGCTTAAGTCTTAAAACCCCATAGCCCCTAGACTTTATACAAGTTGAAATGTGACAATAGGTCTACCTTGTGCAGAACTCTGCGTGTGCCACAACTTATGATCTTGAGGGAAATTATTACACCATATAGCTTTACAATTTTTTATTTGCTTAATTAGGTAAAAAGGAGACAGAGGAATACCGGCAACAATTGGAAGCTGCCAAGAGGAATGCAGAATCAGTAGCTATTATAACTCCAGAACTTGAGCAAGCTTTTTGTGAGGTTTGTTTTCCAATCTCAAAAGAAATAAATATTATTGTGTATATGTGGATAGACTAAGTAGGTGTTTGGACATGCGATTTCATATCGCGATATGAAATCATGAGATAAAATCAGCGTTTGGACATGCGATTTCACGTTGATTTATCTCATGATTTCATATCATTAGATGAAATCCCAAATTCTCCAAAAATGATGATTTGAGATTTTCTAAATACAAAAATTGACCCACAAATATATATTTTATTAAAACAACCCACATTTATATTTACTAACCATATATTTCATATGTAAATAAAAATTATAACTCATATCCTGACTTTTTAAACCATTTATACTCATATAACGATTATTCTCACCAACATAAAATTTATTATTACTTTAAATCATTTCCTACTTTACCATTTATATTCACCAAATTCTTTGTTTTTGATCAAATTTATTTACCAACTAAATTGACCAACAAATGATTTAAAGTAATAATGTTGGTTTATCTTCTCGGTCATATGATCAAGAAATAATTACAAGTTCAACGTGAGAAGATTGACCGTACTATGTGGGAGGATTATATTAAAGACTCTACAACTTATGTTCAATTTTATTTTTTATTGAATTAAAGTTTGATCAATAAATGTTGTACTTTTTTTAGAATAGATTTGTGATATTATATTATGTGTTTTATCAACTTTTGTTTATTTTGTAAGATTGTATAAAGAATTGGGACAATTTTAATAGTTTTACAACTTATGGGTTTTTATGTACATGAGAAAACATACAATATAAAAAAGTCCAAATTGCATGTCCAAACAAAACTACAACTTCATCTCATAATTTCATATCATGATTTCATATCGCATGGCCAAACATGCCCTAAGTTTTGAGTTGCTATTTGTTATCACCATCTCTTCTTGTTTTTTTTTTGTATGGATAGGAATCCATGGTCTTTCTATTTAACAAAAGCTTGTTATTCCTCTATCTAAAAATAATATTCCCTCTGTCCCAATTTATGTGAAGGTGTTTGATTGGACGCTGAGTTAAAAGAAAAAAGAAGACTTTTCTCACTCGTGGTCTATAATAAACCCTATAAATTTATGTGATTATGAATCATTTCATTAAGAGTAAAATGAGAAGTTTGAAGTTAAATTGTTACTAAATATTGAAAGATGTCATTCTTTTGGGACTGACTAAAAATTAAAGAGTGTTGCATAAATTGGGATGGAGAGATTGATGTTTTGAGCTTTGAGGTTTCGACCAGTTTGTAAATTGCTTCAAAAACCAACCAACATTTTAGGGAAGGAATGCATTAATTGAATAAATTAAACAGACAGATTGTTGAGAACTTTCATGTCTTTTATGTGTTATTTGATCAAGTCCTTTGTGTGTTATTACATTCATTATATGGTATCTGCTTGTTGATATGTATAGTTAGGAAAGGAATGCAGTAATTGAATAAACTAAACATAGATAAATAGTAGCCTTAAGAATATTCTCTAGCTGGAGAGACTAATTTTACGTTTATATAAACAATAGAAATATATCAAAACTGCTTCCTGAATCGGGGACTCAATTTGTATTTTGTAATGAGAGAAGAAAGAGGAGATTTGGGAATGAATTCCTGGATTGTTCTCTCATGCGTGTTGGGATTTAAATAGTATTTGATGTAATCCAAAAAAGGGAAGTAAAGTAATTTCTATTCTCGTAGGTAATTAATGCCTATTCCTTTTTTTTTTTTTTTTTTGATGAAGTAAGGAGATTTCATTAGAAGGCATCAACAAGATGCAAGGCAAAAAATGACAGCAAAAGAAGGGGTCTGATCATGTACAAGAATTTACTAAATAACTAAAGAGCAGACATAGTCCAAAAAAAGTTCAACAGTGGTTACAGGTGGACTGGTTGAACCAGCTATATAAGAAGACCAAACAGTTAGATTTAAGAATGTAGTTAGGAGTTGAAGTCCCATCAAAACATCTATGATTCCTTTCATTCCAGATGCACCAAAAGATAGCAGCAGGCACCATACACCATGTTTTTTTGATGGGTTTCCCAACTCTCCATGAACACCAGCTCTCATAGGCTTCTTTAATAGTATTTGGCATGACCCAGGCAATTCCAAAGACTGATAACTTCATATGCCAGTTGCTACTTTACAGTGCAAAAATAGATGCCTAGCACTCTCAAACATCGTCTGATGGCACATATAACATTCATTTATAACCTGAATTTTTCTTTTGCTAAGATTGTCTTGGGTAAGGCATGCTTCATACATTTATAACCTGAATTAATGCCTATTCGTAATTACCCATTACAATGATTTAAATCTTTGCCATGTTTACAAGGAATGGATACTTGCCTATTATTCCCATAATTTTCTTTCTTCTTCTTAACATCCCTATAGATTGGAGTCTACGTATGGTAGGCTCCTAATTTGCCACATGTATACTTAATTCTAGATCTATGAATGAATTTTGTAAGAATATCTGCAAACGAATCATTGGCGTCAATGAAACATGTCATCATGCACTGCGGCTCAATTTTTTGTTGAATGAATTTACAATCTACTTTGATATGCTTTCATGAAACAGTGCTTTGAAGCAATATGTATTACGGTCTAGTCGTCACTGTTCAATTGTGTTGGTGCATCTTCTCACTCCTTAATTCTTCGAGAATAATCTAAATTGCGTAGACTCCTCACTTTTCGATGCTGCAGCCATATTGACACAACATGGATGTGGGTGTGGGATGCGTACCAGAAATGATCAACCAATTTTGGGTACTTTGTCCAAAATTGATAGAGAAGTTCCAGGCAGATACAATAATTTCTGTAATTAAATCAAAAGCTAGGGTACACTCATAATTCATGCAGATGCTTTTTATTGTTACAAGACATTTGTGTCCCCAACCAGAAGATGCTTTAAAGATATTATAGGTGGACATTTAACAACAGTGTTGAATGTGCTGTGAACTCAAGAAGTCTATCATGTCCTCTATATCGTTTGCAATAGTCATGTTGCGCACACAAAAAGTAAAAATAAGGAGATGCATTTGTACATTACAGTAATTACAAATCAAACTTGCTCTCAATAATTCGTGCTTTCATTTTCTTTCAAATAGTCTACCAGAATTTATGCATATTCTTACAAGTTACAACTCTTTTTTAAGATATTTGATTTATTTTAGCTGAATCCCTGCACCCGTATTCATACTTGGATCCATACTCCCACATCTTGTAATTTATATCATGAAGGATCCTACCTCTTGATCCACATCCGCACCCGAGTCCGAGCAACTTAGGCTTTAACCGTGTAAACTCACACGTAGCCAAAACCATTGCTAGGTATTTTACCTTTACACTTGATTTTAACTACTGTGTCTTGATTTTTTTCTTTTCCAAGATATTAAATTTCTCATAGTAGAACACATTACCCGAAGTGGATCATCTGTTTGAAGGAGATTCTGCATAGTCTGCATCATGTCCCCTATCCTCATAGAGTAGCATCTAGCATGTTGAGGTTAACCTTTAATGATGTACCTTAGAGATGCGAATTATTGCATTTCAGTGACCATCTCTAGGAGTTTGGAGACCAACACTGACATCAAATGAGATGTCCGGTTGTGTGTAAGATAATTGAGTTCGCTAATCAATCTTCTATAACAACCGGGTGATTCAAATGCTTCCTCTATCCAGGAAGAAAGCTTAATAGTTGGGTCAATATATTGCAATTTAGAATACCGGTTTCTTCCGATGTGTCCGAAGCAAGCTTTCTTTGTGAAATGAGTATCCCAAAGATTGTGCTAACTTAATGCCTAGGAAGTATTTAGTTTGCCGAGATCTTTGATCTAAAATGACTGATAAAATGCTGCTTAAGTTGAGTAATGCCTCTAAGATCACCACCAACTATAACAATGTCATCAACATAACTACAAAGAATATACATTTGACATTGTGGGAGTGCTTATAAAATGTAGAGTGATCAGTGATGAGCTTCACTCTTAAATATGCCAAATTATTGGACAACAGTGCTAAAAAAGCCAAACTTATGCTCTTGGTGATTGCTTGAAGACCATACAAATTGGCTCCAATTGATGAATGTACAAAGTCTCTCCCTGTGCAACTAACCTTGAAGGTTGCTTTATGTCGACCTCCTCAGCGAGTTCGCATGATGAAAGGCATCTTTGGTATCCAACTGATTAATGGACTAAAACCCCCAGAGATGGTCCTCATAATCTGCTCCAGTCAGGGTAATATAATAAGGTGTTTGATCCCTTGATTATCCAATGAAGGTTAATTTTGCTCCATTGGTCTTGTTAGTAGTCCCATATCGGTGGGAGGGATGACAATTTATCTCCTATTATGGTCTTAGTTAAACCTCACCTCTTGAGCTAGCTTTTGGGATTGGGTTTGGTCAAGATCCATTTTCTTATCATGGTATCAGAGTTAGGCCCAATTCTTATTTCACCAGATGTTGGGTCCCCATATTACCTTGTCCACTCTCTGATTTTCATTCCTAGGCGTGCGGTGGTGTGGTGTGTGTGTGTTGGTTTTTAAGTTGTGCATTGTCTTCTCTTCAATCAGAATTTGTTCACTATCCTACCTAGAAAGCTGGAGAGCAGGAATAGGTGTGAAATATGATCGGAAATGATATATAAGAAAATTCTAAAATCCACTGGAGCGCTGCCAATTGTCTGATAATATAGTGCTTGTGATAATCTTGCAATGTCATAGCGTGCTTGCTACCTTGTGTTTTATATGTTTATCTTGTAAAAGAAAACAGAGTATTTTCCAACAAACTGAACCTTACACAAAATCTCACATGAATTCATATGTTCCTTTATTGTATAGATGAATTGAGTGGTACTTTAAGTAAATGGGTTAGTGGCGATTCTAACCATGCATTAGGTGTAGTTAGGTTCCATCACAAAGAATTTAGGCTATATGCTCATGCCATGTGAAAAAAGGAGAGAAGTATATGGTCATCTTACCAAATGCTCAATTCAGAACCCTGAATCAACCATGTTTATTCAGTTGACAGCTCTACAATTATCACCATATCTGAAGATTTTAAATGAGTGCGGACTAAAATTCTTCTCTTTCATAATTTCAATGGAGTGGAATAAGGTCCAACCATCTTCTCAGGGCAGCACAGCCTCCCTTGCAGGCACCTCCTTGACATTAACTTGACATAGTAATCTTCTTGCATATTGCTATAGAGCAATATCTATTTTCTTTGTGCTGTTCTCCCTATTCACTCAAGTTTTTAAATTTTACGTTCATATGATCGGCCAAAAAACACAGTGCATCATAAAATACACAAACCTTGCTGGTTCTGGATATTTTGGTGTGCTGTCAATCCTAAAGTTCCTTGGATGCTGCCGTTTCTGACCTTTCCACATATTACATCGTAGGGTTTTGTTAGAAAATGGACCTTGGATCTAATTTAACCTCAAAAATTAGCTCAAGTAGTGAGGATTGCCCAAAATCATATAGAAATTACAACTAATACTAATATTTTCAACTAATGTGAGACTCTAAACACTCCGTCTGCACGCTAAAGGCTGGATATTTGGAGTGTGCATGATATATACAAAGGAGGCCAGCATTGGGTAAACCTACCTTTGGGATGTGCTTGGTATCATGTTAAGAAAATGGATATTTGACCCAACTCAACTTCAATAGCTCCCCAAGGCGAGGATTGTTTAAGAGCATAGAATACTACCTATATCAAGCTAACATTTGGGATGATTTAGATCCAAGGTCCAATTTCTTTAACATAGCAGAGGTGGCAAATGTCTTGGCTCAAGTTTCATTCCCATCTATTATTAAAAAGAATATTCATGCGCTTGGCTGTTAATAAGAATCAAGTTTGCGCGTTAGAGGGCGTGTTAAAGATATAATTAAATAAATAAAATTATTTCCTGTCTGACAGCTTAAGTTAAGTTTCCTGATGAGGAGGCCAGACACTTCAACAATATTTATAGTATTTCTGCTCTACTTTGTGATGATAGAAGAACCTAAGGGGAACCCTTCGGGGTGGCCCAGTGGTTTGGGCTTGGGACTTCCATGTTGGAGGTCTCAAGTTCGAAACCCCTTGCCAGCGAAAGCAAGAGGTTTGCCTTCTGGGTCGAGCTCGTCGCACCGGGCTTGCCTAGTGCGGGTTACCTCTCCTATGTGGTTTGCGAGCTATTGCATAAGAGCGGGGGTTTTACCCTGTGTGAACCCAAAGGGTAGCGGCTGCGGGTTTCCCTTGTCATAAAAAAAAAAGAACCTAAGGGGATTGTCTTACAGATGTTTTGGTGTAAGGAGAACTGTATAGAGGAAATGGATGAATTTGTCAATTTCGTAAAAGCTTTGTAAATCTAGACTCTATTTTCTCTTCTTGTAAAAAGTTTTTGAAGGTGACCAGCGTCCCTTAATGCTGAGGAATACAACAGTACTTTTGTCAAAAAAAAAAGTCTTCTAAGATTGCTCAAGGGATATAAACATAAAGCTCTTTATTGAATGTGTGACACATTGGTTTCTCTTTTGGATATTTGGATGGTATGATTGCCTCATATCAAGCTCATGAATAGTAACCGTTTCTTTATTATGTACTAATCCTAGTCATGGTTGGACCGAAATGACATCACCTTTATTTGTTATTGTTAGAAGAGCTTTTGTCTCCCAGGTTTTCTGTGTGTTTTAAGTTGTAGGTTGAGATAATTTAATATGGCTTTGCAACTAAGCTTTCTGTAGCAGCTTTAATCTATGCTGCACAGACTCTCCAAAACTGATGCAGCACCTGTGTCGGATCCTCCAAAATGCACTACTTTTGGAGGATCCAACACACACCCGTCCCCATTTTTAAAGAGTCCAAACAACATAGGTTTTAATGTGATGTCTGTGTTTTTTGCCAGTACACCAAATGGGTAAGACTTGTTTCTTTGGTGTTCTAATCAATCAATTCAGTATGGTTCATATGTTCTGATCGTTTCATAGTGCATATTTAATGCTCGCAATTCTCAAGGCTGCCTCATATTAATTCATTCCTAGTCAATTTTACCTGCAGATGCCATCTACAATTGAGGAGTTGGATGCGGCTATTCAAGATACCATTTCTCAAGCCAACTCCATTCTTTTCCTGAACCATAATGTTCTAGAAGAGTATGAAGCACGTCAGAAAAAAGTAACTCTCTGTTTCCTTTATTTGCATTTCCATTTTAACCATTTAAACTATATGATGATAGCATCTAATTTTGTCTTGTACTTTTGCAGATAGAATCTCTTTCTAAGAGTCAAGAGATGGAAGAAGAGAAATTAAGCAACCTCACTAACGAAATCAATGCTTTAAAGGTTAGATTTTATTGTACTCTAGCATTTTTGGTAGTTACCTGGTGAATGTAATGCTCCTAGCCAGCTTGTTGTATATAAAGCAGTAGCTTATTGAACCCCACAGTGGCTCACTTCACATATAGTAATACACAGTTGATTCTCCTTTCAAATGGTATCTATTATTTCAAGGTCTCAGACGTATCCATTGATACTGCTAAATGAGTGAATTGCCTCATCTAAAAGCTACATATCCATTAATATTACTGAATGGGTGAACTGCCTTATCTAAAAGCTGAAGCTGTTAGAGGCTTGTTTGGTCTGCAACATGTCCCCTCATGTGCGAGCTTAATTTTTTTCATTTTGGACAAGCACTTGGAAATAATTTGTTGATGGGTGAAGGTTAGACTCGACACAAATATATCTACCTGCCCTGCATCAATATCAGTTAAAGAGCAGCCAGTTAAGATTTTCTCCTTCATATCCCACCCTTGTGTTACTTCATTCAAAAGGTTGACCTAGTTATTATGTGTGAATTGCTTCATTGAAAAGCTTAATTAAGAAAGATTACTTTTATTCTTTTTTTGAAGCTTGCAACGATTTATGTACTTGTTTAAACAAAAATGATTCAGAATGGTAACAGTTTAATGTTTGCTTTTATGCTACCTAGTACCAGTATATCTTATGACAAATTATTTAAACATAAAAAGAATGATAAAAATACGTTGTCTTAGAGAAAGAAAAAGACAGTAGGTTCTAGTAATTGGGATAAATAGGAACAAAGTATCAGATATTATATGATGATTTAGGAAAGTCTTTTTCCTCCTTTATTTCGTTATCTTGGTTGTGGTTGTAAAATAACAAGGTGTTCATCTTTACTGCGGACACATTGTGGTAGTCTCCAAAAAAACCTGTTCTGATTTTAGGACTTTGCAGGAAAGGTGGCTGCCAACATTAAGAAGTCTTGTTTCTCAAATCAACCAGACTTTTAGCCATAATTTCCAAGAAATGGCTGTTGCAGGAGAAGTTTCATTAGGTATGTTTACCTCAAACCTTGCAGAACTTACTTCTTGAGAAGTTTTATCAACCTGTATTAATCAAGTCTCTCTTCAGATGAGCATGACATGGACTTTGACAAATATGGGATACTAATTAAAGTCAAGTTCAGGTAATTACGGTTCTGATTCTTCCTTATTTTGACGTAGGTATGTAGGTTGAGATTTCTGCCTCTTGTGACTGTCCTTTATTGGAGGAGAGACAGATATTTTATATATTATTTCTTTTGCCCCCCTTTGAGAAGATGAGTGTTATATTTCTACCGGTGGGAAGTACTTATTTTACAAAATGCTCTAGAACTTTATATTGTTTTTCTTTTGGCCTAGAAATCGCATAGTTCTTCATTAGTGGACTATGATGTTTCTTTTGATGCCATTTAAATTAGTTCAGTATTATAGTACTGAACCTAAAGTTATTTTGTATTGTACCCATCTTATATTTCAAATCATCTTTTGGGAAGAAAAATCATTGGCTTCACTTATGAGCAAAACAAAGAAAAGATTCCCTAGCATCTATCCCCTAGGTAGTGATTCATGGCACCAACAAATATGGGTTATTTATTTGTTTATTTATTTTTGATTCTCCATGGCTTGTTTACAGTTTGCTGTTCTTGCATCTTTATTACCAGGGAGACGGGACTACTCCAAGTTCTAAGTGCCCACCACCAATCTGGAGGAGTATGTTGCTTAAACCACTTTTTCTATCTGTGAGTTCAATTGATTTTTAACTTATTAATACAATATCCTTTCAGGAACGATCTGTTTCAACTATTCTTTACCTAGTTTCTCTCCAAGACCTAACAAATTGCCCCTTTAGAGTGGTGGATGAAATAAATCAAGGTCAGTTATACACTTACCGTATATTGTTATTCTTAATTAACTGGATGCAAGAAATCATTGTGTACATTTGTGCTTCAAGGAATGGATCCTATCAATGAGAGGAAAATGTTTCAGCAACTAGTGAGAGCTGCCAGCCAACCCAATACACCGCAGTAAGATCACTCTTTTCTCTCTTCTATTCTCATGATTTTATTTTTTACCATTATCATGTCTAAACACCAGCAATTTATGTGCTGAAATTCTTTGCTTATGTCCTTGTAATTAAAGAATTTGGTGTGTATGCTTTTTTCAAATCGTTGAAAAACCAACATCTTAGAGAGTACTGGGAAGATGTCTGCCTCTACATGGAATTCTGTTTTAAGAATGACCATTGATGTAAGACGATTACGGAGTTCGTATACATATTAATCTGCAATAATTTTGCATGGCCAATATATCTGCTTCGTTAGGATCAAGAGGGGAAGAAGTTTCTTTGAAGGTCTCCAGATTGTTTGTTTTTGAACTGCTTGGTTCAGATGACAAAAGCCATGACCTTGGAAATGAGGTCAATTAGATGAGTACTCTCTTCTATTATTTTGTTGTACCTGGTTAACAAGCGCTAACCCTTTTTTTTCACTTTAGTCCCGAACAGAACAATCTTTTGCCTTAAGAAAAGCTATGGGAAATCTGTTCGGAAAGAGATATTTATTAAATAATAAAAGCGGTATTATCCCTAAACGTTGAGAACACACAAAGAAATCATGCAAGACAACGTATTAACATCATCTGCAAAATTGAGTCTCTTAGATATTATTGTAGCTTATATCTGGACAAAGGGTACTAATTTTGTAAAGGAAAATTTTCATTAATATTTTGTTTTGCATATTGCATTCCAATTCCTGCTATCTACTTTGAAATTCTGCTCTAAGTAATCAAACATGTTCCATTTATACTTTGAGAAATCAGTATTTTGATAGTTGTACCCTGCTACCTACCATGCAGATGCCGTGTTAACTTGGAATTATCCACTATCAGATTTTCTTCTTTATTTTGTGTTATGACTAGACATTAAATTCCATTGTTTTCAGTTTGATTCTAGTATCTGATTTGTAACAGCGGTCATCCAATGTGCATCTAACAAAGCTAGGCAGAAACTGATAAAGTAATAAGCAGTTAGTAAATGTAATATATATGGTTAGGCCCTCGTGAGAGATTCCCTTACAAGTGTTATCAGAGTGCATAAACGCCACTGACAGCCAAGCTTCTGCAGAAAGCACGCAGATATAAGTACAAGGGATCCATTTATTTTCAACCTTCTATGGCGAGAAATGTCAAATAGTTCTTTTTGTGGAAGACATATTTGAAGTCTCGAACTCTCAGCTCTCTACTAGAGGGAGCATGAATCCATGTAGGTTTATTTTGTTTAGGTGATCATGCCTGTTATGCTGATCCCCCTGCATATTTTGGAGAAATTAATGAAATCGTGAAACTAGACCTTGTCTACATAAATCTCCAGTCCTATTTCTGATTCTGCCAAATCCTTTACAGGTGCTTCTTGCTTACCCCAAAGTTGCTGCCAAATCTTGAATACAGTGAAGCATGCAGCATTCTGACAGTAATGAATGGGCCCTGGATTGAGCAGCCATCCAAAGGTTTTCTACCACTTTAACCAATACCATATGCTTGTAGTCATAACATTAGTCACACACTAAATGTCTTTCTTCTGGTTCTAAATTGCAGTTTGGAGTGGTGGAGAATGCTGGAGATCTATTATGGGTTTAACCTCTATTGCCGCTGACTAGAATCAGTAATGTTTGTGGTACCAGGAACTGTCCATAAGAAAAAATTACAATTTTCTAGTTGATCGTCATTTTACCCTGTTAAAAGCTGAGCCATGGTCGCTCAGCTATTGTTTTTGAAAAATCTTAAATAGTGCATAATTTTTTTGTACGGATAATTCGTAGTACTGCCCTTGTTTATAGTAGTAACATAGAGCCATAGAGGTATTCCCTCTGTTCGAACTTCAATAATTTGTCCTCCATTCTCTTTGTTTATATATATATTCAGAAATTGTTCACTCTATATATTACTCTTCGTGTATCAATACAAATACTTTCTTTCTAGTGTCCCTATCAAGATAATCAGTAACGGAAATGGATGAAGAAGCCGTTTTTCTAATATTTTTGTTCAAATATTTTCATATATGATAGAACTGCTAAATTTCAATTAGTCTGTAAAAGTGGCTATTTGTGAAAGTGAAATTCTCTTCCTATTATGCCCTTTGAAAGATTACTTGGGGCCTGTTTGGATTGGCTTTTGGCTTATGACTTATAAGTCAAAAGCCATAAGTTGGTATTTCTATCTTATGGCTTTTGGCTTATTTTTGTTATTTTGGCTTTAAAATAAGTGCTTATAAGCACTTTTTAACTGTACCCAAACACTTCAAAACTGTTTAAAAGCTATTTTGGCTTAAAAACACTTAAAATAAGTCAATCCAAATGGGCACTTAGTATTCTTCATTTTTTTTTATTATTCTACTATTGAAGATCAGCTTCGAGGCTTGAAGTTAAGGTAATTGATTTATGAGTAGTTCAAAAAATGTGTAGCAATTTTTTTTAGAAAGTGATTAATTTAAAGAAGAGATCATCCCAGTTTTGATTATTCCACCTTTGATGAATATAATTTTACTGAAATTTCGGTACGATCTTAAAGTATACTAATGCAGACTTGTGTACTATGATAACATATTGTTGTTCAGACACTAGTGCTTGTTCTTGAATTTTTAGCTTAAAAGTTCGATCAAATACATATATCAAATCAACTCCAAATGCAACCAAATTTAAGTATGAATTTCCAAAGGTACTACAGACAATATTTCGAATATTCATTTCGTAACAAACAACAAATGTTCAAGTTAAAAATTTAAATTCAAGTCTTGAATCAACAATAGATTGATTACCAAACCAATGCAACTCTCAAAATGGGGAGCGGAAGAATTTGAGAGTTATGTAAATAATAAGTAATCATGGTTATATCTTTTGTTAAACTGGTGAAATAATATGTATAAATATAAATAACTTACCTAAATATGTATGTTAATGAATCTATTAAAACCTTGTATCAATAAAAGGCTTGATAGATAAACTGGGGAATTCTCGCATATAGCCACTCAAAAATAACTTAATTATGCTTCATAACTATAGTTTGCTAATTACGATTCGTAGCTACATGTTAGAGGGAGGAGAGAGGCGAGCGATAGAGGACATAGAGTGAAGAGAGACAAATGTATATGTATATCTGTCAAATAATTGTATATATGTAATTGGTATACATATGTATTTGTACATCTGGCCAGCGAGATTGAGAGAGGGAGGAGAGAGGCAAAATGTATATGTATATCTGTTAGATAATTGTATATATGTAACTGGTATACATATGTATTTGTATATCCGGTGAGTGAGGTTGGAAGAGGGAGGAGAGAGGCGAGCGAGAGAGGGTATAGAGTGGAGAGAGGCTAATTGTATTTGTATATATGTCATATAATTGTATATGTACATGTATAATTTGTATTTGTATATGTATAAAAAGGAGAGAGGAGAGAGAGAGGAAGAGATGAGAGAGGCGACATAATTACATCTAAAATTAAGCTACGAGCCGTAATTAATTCAAATTATCTATGTTAGCTAATGCCGTAATTAATTCAAACTATAATTATATTAGCTAATGTCGTAATTAATTCAAACTATAGTTATGTTAACTAATTAACTAGTATATATTTGCTTATCTGCGTAATTTCCCCTAAACTGAATACCTAGCATATCAAATTACATAATCTTTAACATCATTTCATTTTTGTAGCTTATTTTTGAACATTTGTTGTTCCACAAACCAAATAGACACATATTTTATTCAATTATTTCTTATGTGAATTCGAATGTATATAAAAAGTTATCCATATAAGATGTTTCTATCAAGTTAATATATAAATATGAATTATATATTTTGTATATACATTTTTTAACACTCGATACACATATTTACTTTAATTATTAACTTTTAAAATTAATTATATATAATAACATGCTACTTATATGTTTTCAATCTCTTCATAAACATCCGATAAAATTGAAACGATAAATATTTATACATTTTTTAACACTTAATCGTTATTAAGTGATACACATATTTACTGTAATTATTAACTTTTAAAATTAATTATATATAAACATATGCTACTTATATATTTTCAGTCCCTTCATAGACATCCGATAAAATTGATACGATATTGATGTGTTTTCATCCTCTCCCAAGGAAACTTGCATCAATAAAGGGAGGGCTTATATGTCAATAAATCAAAATGTAGCAGGTAAAACCACATATTGTCAAACTTGTTGGATCAAAATGATAAATCTAATAACATACTTTTAATACACACTCTCTTATCTCGTTATCAACATACACCAAATGGATAGGCATTATATATGATTTTGTTTATTCACCACAACAATCCCTTCGGTCTCATTCAACAATGGCTTCCACAGCAACGCCTTCTACTCTCACTCTTTCCTCAATTTTCTCACAAGAACTCAACCCCAATTCTCTAATTTTCAAATCAAAGCCTCTTCTTTTCACATCCCACAAATCTTTTTCTCTGCACACATTAAGCCTCCAGTACAAAGAAAGGAAGAATGGACCTCTTGTTGTTGCTGCTATGGCTGCTGAAGCTGAGGTTGAAGAGGATGTAGAACAGGAAGGTGAAGAAGGTGGAGAAGGGGCTGTTGCTGTTTTAATTCCACCGTCTAAGCCTAAGAAAGGCAAGGCTGCATTGCCCTTGAAGAGGGATAGAGTATGTTGAAGAACCCATCTTTTTATTGTTGATTTGGTGGATTTTTAGATATGAAAGATGGGTTTTTTTTCGTTGTGTGATATGTGGGGTTTGCTTAATTTTTGTGTTTTGAGATGATATTAGTATGAAAATAGTTTTCTTTCCCCTAAGTGGATATAGTATGTGGAAAATCTCCATTTTTTTGTTAATTTTATGGATGTTAGATGAAAGATGGTTGTTTGTTGGTTTGTATGATATGTAGAAACAACTGTGTTTTTTTTTCTTGAGCTACCGGAAACAACCTCCTACCTCTTTCGGTTCTCCCCAGAGCCCACTTTGAGGGACTACACTGGGTTTGTTGGTGTTGTTGATGATGATTCTTGTGATTATATTAGTATGAACATAACTTTTTTGCCCCTAAAGAGGATAGATTATGTAGAAACTCTTCATTTCTTATTAATTTTGTGAATGTCAGATGAAAGATGGGTCTTTGTTGGTTTGTATGATATGTGGGTTTTGCTTAGGTTCTGTATTTATTGATCTTTGTGGTGAGGTTACTATCAATATGACCTGTTTTGGAATTTCTTGGTTCATTTTTTATGGGTGAACTAGTCTGAATTTGTTTGCTTGTGTAAAATTTGGTCAGTACTGATTTAACCACCAAAGGTCTGTTTGGTATGATGATGAGATAATTCAGTAGTTCATTATAATAGTAGGTGATTTCGTAGCATCTCTAAGCATTGGTGGACTGAGTGGTAAGTAGCATGTAGCTGGTGGATTAATCATGTTGCATGAGCTTTTTGGACACCATCCTTATAGAAAAACGTTATTATTATACTGGGATTATGAAGTGGAATTGAATAATACGTACACTACAATTTCATAGCAAGGAAAAGAAATTATATTAAGTGAAGATTGTATCTGTATTGTGGTTGGCGAGCCACGTCACAATTACCCAGCCTTACACTGTCATTTCAAAGGAAGCTAGTTTTTTATATGCTTCCAGTTGTTGGCAAGTTATGAAGCAAGCATTTCCATAACCTGTACTTTCCTGTTTGTATCGGAGGACAAGTTTTTACTATTTTTTTGTTTAATGTAGACTACCTTCCTCCTGCCCAAACATGTGAGGATTCAGAATCTTAAGTTATTTGGTGTAATACTAATAAAATGTGGTACACAAGTCTTTTTAAAAGCGGAATCATGATGGCAAAGATCAATCAGGAATGGTGAACAATCAATTTTGATGCAGCAAATGTTAGACCTTGTCAGTGGGATTGAATTAGACCATTTGAACTCTCTCATATGATCCTTGTCCTAATATTAAGACATCTGAGGAAATATGCTGTCCAGAGGTTAAACATTTCACATAATTCTGCATGTGCTTGTTCCTTTGACCGGTAATGGATGTCACTGTACAGGTGATAAATTTTGCCCTTTGGAGATGCTAGTTGTGGAAGATCATCTCTGTTGATTTTCAAACTACGTTTCTGATATGCTTTTCCTGTAGCTGTTACGTCAAGCATCAAACTTCGTTGTTTCTTTATCTCATTTACTATTTTCTCATAAATTGGTTTCTTCTTTTTCCATAATAATTAGACGCGGTCTAAGAGGTTCTTGGAGATTCAGAAATTAAGAGAAATCAAGAAAGAGTATGACTTGAAAACGGCTATAGAACTGCTCAAACAAACAGCTAGCTCAAAGTTTGTTGAAACAGCTGAAGGTCATTTCCGGCTCAATATTGACCCAAAATACAACGATCAGCAGCTTAGGGCAACTGTAAGTTCTCAAAGATTTCATTAATCATCATTACATACTTCGAAGTTTATATTGAGTGTTTACTGGTATATTAGTATCTCCAATTGCGGTGACTTCTCTTTTTCAGGTTAACTTGCCCAAGGGAACAGGTCAAACTGTTAAAGTGGCTGTTCTTACCCAAGGTACTCCTTAAGATATATTTTTGTGTGAATTGATCATGATTGTATGCCAAATAACCAAGGGAAGTAGATTCATTAATAGTTGGTCTGTTAAGGTCGTTAGTGAACTCCTTTCATTGCTTGTAGAAAATAGTAATTTTTATTTTGTGTTAATAAAATTAAAATGCCATTTAACAAAATTGTACATGTGAAACAAGTAACTGGGCGTAATAATGTGGAAATGGTCTGCAAACTAGAATATCATATATGGTTGCCATCCCAAATTAGGCTTGGTTAATCAGATTGTCTAGTAAACTTACAGCTGGCATCCTACTTTTTTTGACACACCCCAAAGAAAAAGGAGTAACTTTCAGAGTTGCTCTTT